CATTATTTTAAATTACGTCAGGGCCATCTAAAATATATATTATCTGACTTGATGAATACAGCGCCTGGAAAAGGATCAAATCCGTCACCAAGGAGGAAAATATTAAGCTGTATAAACATGCTAATCGTTCTTTATCGTGCTCTGATCTTTCTAGGACTACGCTAGACCTGAACTAGCACTTTGGCATGATATCTCTTTACCTTGTCCCAAGCTTATAAATTTAAATAAAACCAATTGTAAACCGTGTGACCCGAAATTATTTATTGCTACTTGTGATCCACCCAAAGTGTCGCTTATTGCGGGCACTGTTTAAAAACTGTGGCTGGCTCGAAGCACTCAGCAAACGCATAAACGTATGCGCTGTATTGAGGTTCACCGATAGTAAGTCTGCCTTCAATAAGTGATCCAGTGGTGTGGGTCTTGATTATTAACCCGAAGCTGTATTCTCTTCTTTAGCTAAGTATAAACAGATGGAATACCCGGTAAATGCTTGTAACAGTTCTATACGGAACCCTATCGGTCTTAACAATTTTTACATGAATTCTATGAGAGATCAGAAAAAACTTAAAGCCCCTCATACTATTCACGATTTGTCATCATACAAACGCCCAAACAGTGTTCCTTAAAATTCTGATTTCGAAATTATAAGAACCGAAGAACTGAGTGGCCATATATGCTCGAGAGTGTTAAGAAGACGTAATTATATGCAGAATGTCATTGCGTGTGATATATGTATGATATATGAAAACACTCTACTACAGAAGTGTAGATAGTCACGCACTTGTGGTGTAACATAAAAATCAAGAAAAGTCAGAAATAGAGCACTCTGTCTCGTCTGCTTTCTGTTTATTAGTGCCAAAGAGGAGAATCACTTCGTTAATAGTCATCTTTTACTTCGGCGCATTTCGATTACGAAAAAAATAGAATAATCTATGACAGGACAACCATCCAAAGGTGAATCACCAAATAAATACAAATCAACCAATCTAATCCATTCACTGACAACAGTCACAATTATGGCCACACAAAAAGCCTCAAATAGCATTCCTCAGCCCTCACAAAATCTAAGCCACTTTGTGTGCTAATACTTGTTCGAAAATTGAAACTGTACATAAAACAGCTGCAAACATAATCCCGGGACCTAACGCTCAACTACTTCCTAGTCTCAATTCAGCTATAAATCTACAGTCGTTAAGGAATATTTAAAAGGTACCGATAAATCCCCAACGACTATGCTCGACAGGTATTTTCCTAAAAATGGTGCTGCAAGCTATAGCCGTTCGGTCACTGAAATACAGAGATCATACAGACTTCTCTGAAAGAACCTGCAAAAAATTCATTGCCCTTAGCCCAAAACATGAATTTGTTCACAACATTGGCAGATCCCAAGACACACAAAGGATTAGCAATACTTAATTACTTGGGTACGCGGCTAATTCTGTCCACGACCTTGCCTTCTCACGGCACTGGCAAATGGTTTAGGGTGAACTTTAATAGTTTTAAGCATCAGGACACTACTATATACTACATGAACGCCTCCTAACTATAGTTTCAGGAGATTCCTCATTTTTAACCCAAAACATACAACGCCTTTGATTGCCTACGCCGAGGATAGGCTGCTCCCTAGCACAAAAAACCATTACAATGCTGATCTATCTGGGTACGCGCCTAATGAGGTAAACTATCTAATACAATTTCTGGTTCTCACCACATCGACACAAACACCACCCCATACGTCTTTAGTTTTCTTCCCCTCAACATTCTTTCTTTGTTGCCTAAAACTGTTGAGTGTGATTTTCCCACTATTTTAGGACTATCCTCTATATACTCTGACTAAGTACAGAGCTATAAACATCACTTCACCAACGAATTCCCCAGTCTTGATAGCTCCTTGTCGGACCATTCCAACGATTTTTCAAATAAACCACTTATCCATACAACCCAGTCTACTTCGCCTTTTACCTCTAAAAATATTTATTCTTTCACCATACCACCTTCTGACCACTTCCCTTTCACTAGCCCCATTCATAACAAACCAAACGAACAAGAATATGAAGTAAATACTCCTACTTCCTCCCTCTCTTCCTATAACAAAACGGAAATCCCATTAAATTTACACCCTGCCCCTCTACTAAATGAATACTTGTAGAAATACGGATTATTTTGTTATTAGTACTGCTCTAATAATAGACCTAATCCCGAGCTTGTAGATTTGTCGTAATGCAACTGCCAAATATATGAGATCTTACGTGGAAGTCACATCATTTTATACACCAACTCATCGTAGCGTAACATTTACCAGTGTATGGTGGAGAACACACTTAGGCTAGAGATAGAACAATATATTCAATATGAATAAAAGGTATAGGCTACACAAAAATGATCGCGTCTTCGAGGCCGAGCCATGCCATTCGATTCATTTGGATTCTTTCAATTTTTTCCACTCGCCTTCCTCATCGTTAGTTTTTTATCCGCCTCAAATGTTGAATATCTGTTTTCCCAGTCGCCTCGTGTTCAGCGTTGAGGATTGTATGGTTAGGGCCCTATGCCACTACATTATCACCGTAAGTGACACTACTGTTGACCAATGCTGGCTCTGACCTAAATGACTTAACCCATGTACACACACTAGTACTTCTAAACAACCCTTCACTTGTCATAATGGCGAAAAATTGACTGTCCTCCGATATCTCGGGCTCATATTTCCTGGTAGACACCTATAAAGACTTCTGTTGGGATCAAGGCTTTAAAAGGTGTTTTATTCTAAAAAAACCCATCAATATAACAATCGATTGATCCCTGAATTCAGCATTTAACCATAAGAAAAAATCTGCACAAAATAATGAAACATCCTTAAAAATAGGAAACGAACCACCTACCCTGAAGGGGTTGATTCACTCAGTCAATGCGAATATGATCAATCAGGTACACGATCGTTTATTAATATAGCCATCGGAAACTAAATTTCTAATGCATGTAAATGGCTTTTCTAGTCCCTTACCACCATGATCTTTTTATATACTGGTGATACCAAGATATTATAAGTCGTGCGAGGTGAAATGGATGGTTCAGAGCTTTAAAACGAATTATAGAGATGATTGGTTTACGATTCGTTAGTGGCTGATAAATACTTTCATTTGGACTATGATGCATATTGGTCATGGTACATATGCATTCGCGGTGGATATTGTTTAACAGATATACATTGACCTCCTATTCATCATTAGTCGTGAAGTCTAAGCATCCACACACTTCTATGCAACAGGTGACCAGGGTTTCAAAGCCATTTGGTCTATATATATGGCCTATAGCAATCAAGACTTTGAGACCTTTCCGACTTTGAATATAGTGTTCACTCTTCCAGAACATGAGTATTACATATAAACAGCTAGCTGAAAATCCCACAACATGAGAGAAATGAATAATAGACAACGGTTTAAAACAAAACATGTCGAAATATGTCACGAACATTCTGCCCCATTTGATAAAACATATGACCTCCATGGAAGCCAGCTCTCGATTGTCTCATCAGTGAGATATAGGGCTAGTCATCATAGAGACCTTGGATACCAGCTCAAACTATATCAGGAATCTAAACAAAGTGTAACTCTTGACTTTTGTGCGAATACAACTTGGCTCAATCCCCCTAGAATTGTATACGACACTGTTTAAAAAAATACGGCCTCATCACGTTCCTCAAAGAGACACCTGGAAGATCACACATCAAAGAACAAAACCAGGGTACTCCCACACTTTTTCTCATGAGGAGCTGTTCTACTGTTATGGGTTCGTTATTGCTTGAACGCTATTACTGATTCGTCTTACTCGAACGGAACGAAGGATCAATGATTCAGCGACTCGATAGCTATTCTGGTTCGTAGTCCCCGACTCTGCTAACTCGACCATGAATTCTAGTTAAGGTGTAGAAAGTGTATTCTACAGACAAATAGCATATAACAAGTCAAGTCAAACACACGATCAAGCGTATTTATACAAATGTTTACAATCGATATTGCCATGGAAAATTTTTAAACATTAATCCATGAGTTCTTTAGTTGACCGCTATTTAACATTTAATTGATAGTTCATCAATTGACCTATTTGCACATCTAATCGATAGGTTCATCAACTGACTGCCATTCAAACGTTTAATCGATAATTTGATCGATAAGATAAAATTTAAAAATATGAGTTTGGGGATCAATCGTCCCCAACATCTACTTATAATGCTTTCTAAGCCAAACTAACCACTCTCAGTGTAGAGCTTCAAGAAGACATTGAATGAACGGATTAACATCTCTAGCATGGACCAGCTGTATCTGATGAAGTTTTTATAATTTAACTACTGCTATCATCATTACATAACACTCAGTTATTCCTGTCCATTTTATTGTCATCCGCGTTTCCCATCTTATTCGTACATTTCAGTCTCCTCATACTATCTGCATTAACCTAGTTATTTATTTATCGAAGCAATCGTATCCTCCTAGCATTTAAATTCTCTGTCCATTGTTTCTAAAATTGACGCGCAAGCTGCCGGTATCCAAAAGTTTTGCGTCCCTGAAGCAAACACAAACTGAAAGATATATAAGTCCATAAATAACTACCAAACTGACTAGATTAGTACATTTGAGTGGCCAGACAACTACTTAATGAACATGAGCGAATACCCAGAACCGTACTGGGACGAGCGAAACAAGCGAAAATAAATCAACCAGTTTATACAAGCTTGTGAATATTGGACATAAGGATGATGGCATTGAGGTAATTCGGGGGTATTATCGAGAGGTGCGCTACTTTTCTAACGTGGTTTACCAGGCATGTCTGTGGACGTACCATTCTAACTAGGTGGTGTCGCTGCACTTAAACGACTAAATCCAAAACGTGCTTGTAAATCTGTTGAGGTTCGTCTGATATTTTTGTTCTAGCTACAAACATCTCTTTTCCTAACACGTTTTCAAGGCTACAGGTAACTTTATTGAGGCTCGCAGTGACAGTGAATGCTGCGTTCCTCCTTGTGCTACGTACGTTTAGTAACAACACCTAAACGTTTCCTAAAACATAAACGCCCTGGAGATAAGATGATTCCGCCACCACACTCCATATCATTAACCGTTGTTGGCAATGGACGTGCTGGTTCCTCGAAATCAATGCTCATTGACACGGGGGTATGTCGTTATTTGGTCAACTGTGGTGAGTCAACGCAAAGAGTCTTGGCAGAATATAGGTAATGATGTTCTTAGTTTACTTAATATTAGAATGAAAACTTCGCGCATACAACATGTCTTTCTTACGCGTATGTCTTGGGATTGCACTTCTGGATTACTAGGTTAGTACAAATGCTAGTTGTACATATTTTGAGGTGTGGCATTGACTGCAAAGGCCGCAGGAGTTAAGAAGTTAACTATACATGGACCCACAGAACTAGTGAGTTATCCACCATACAAAATATATTATCAGCAAAATATGCACTTTCAATGTTATTACGAAATATCTATCAGGTAGCAGTTATTGAAAATTTAAGTTCGAATAAAAGTAATATTAGGATATCTTTTACAAACAGCGGTCGTTCTTCGTCGCTCAGATATCATTCTGTACAATGTCGAATATTTTAAGTTGATTCTCTTAACTGTTAGTTGATTCAGATATGATAGTCAGCAAAGCTCTATTTCATAACTAGGGAACATAACTACTTGTTAGTGATGGTAAATGTTCTTGCTCTATTATTTCACGAAGGGCTTAACTGTTTTTGCTACTAACGTTCGACATTGTCTAATATCCATATTCACCAAAGCAGTAACATTCATTTGCAACTATTCCTTATAACGCTTTCTAAAATTTTCCCGTTCTTGTCCTCACCTTAATTTTGTATACAAATGGTGTATCCACTTTAAATTGTGTTTTTAAACATATCTGTTTAGAAACTAATTAGATGTTTACATTTGGAAAATCACCTCTTATTAGAAAAGTCAGTCAGTCAGTCAGTCAGTCAGTCAGTAACAACGTAGAACTTCGTACGTACGTACATCAGTTCGAGTTGCCACACCACATTAGCACAGAGATGCACTTGTCGATTCAAATCCCGTAGTGGTAGAGGTAATAAGAGTATAAGCAGTAATCGGGAAGATTAGGGTTTGGAGATGTTATTTAAAGAGTATAATCCAGTGAAAGAAATTTGGAAAGAGGAAAAAAAGGGACATGAAGAATTCAGAAGATTAGAATTTGGGAGAACACAGAGAGTGGATGCACCTGCGCCATTGCAAACGATTTTGAGCCATGTCATTCAGGGTCTCTAACCATCGGTTGCTATCATCTCGCGGTCCCCAACCAGGTAGTCTACACCTACCAACATGACTCAGTTCACTTGTCAGTGACTTCATGGACTTGTGCCATGTTTTGGTTTGGCCGCCCCTAGCTTTCTTCCAACCTACTCCTATACCACTGAACATAGCACGTCGAGGCAGTCGGTCGTTGGGCATACGTAACACGTGTCCCAGCCATCTCAACTGATGAAGTTTCACTACTTCATCAATTGATTTGCCATCCTTACCTAGTACCCGTTTCCTAACAACTGTGTTACTTACTCGATGGTCCCATGATATACGAGCAATGTTTCGAAGACACCTATGATCAAATACTAGTAACCTACGGATATCCTCTACTCTTACCGGCCATGTTTCACTGCCATAAAGTAGGACGGAACGAACTGCTGCGCAGTAAACACGTCCTTTGGTTGATAGACGGATATCTCGCCTACGCCATAAATGACGCAAGTTGGCAAAAGCTAGTCGAGCCTTCTGTATCCGTGCTGAGATTTCGTCACACACTAAACCACAAGGGCTGATGAGACTTCCAAGATAAGTGAAGCGGTCGACACACTCAACTACTTCACTCCCTATCACTAGTTCGGGTGTCGATGTAACCCAATCCTGAAGCAACATTTTGCATTTCGAGGGAGAGAATCGCATCCCGAACATGCTTGCATTGTTGCTTAGAGTGGTCAGAAGACTCTGCATTTTGTCAGCGTCTTCACCAAATAAAACTATGTCATCAGCATATTCTAAGTCAACAAGTGAACCTCCTGGTAGAAGTTCAACCCCTGTAAATTTAGATGAGGAGAGTGTTATCTCTAAAAGTACGTCGACCACAAAGTTGAACAAGAATGGGGAGAGTGGACAGCCCTGACGAACACCACTTGAGGTAATCAATTCTGATGACAGTTCGCCATAAGCTCTCACTCTACCAGTTGTGTTCGAGTAGAGAGCCTTTATAAGGTTAATGTACTTCTTTGGTACTCCTTTCAGTGACAAACACTGCCATAGAACCTCACGATCAATCGAGTCGAATGCCGCCTTAAGGTCGAGAAATACTACCATTGTGGGGCGTCTGAATGTGTGTCTGTGTTCTAGAACCTGACGTAGTGTGAATATCTGATCTATACAACCACGTCCAGGTCGAAAACCAGCCTGGTTTTCTCTAGTCTGCTCTTCACGAGCTTTAGTTAGGCGTCGAAGTATTATTGAAGCTAATATTTTAGACACTATATTAGTCAAACTGATTCCTCTGTGATTGTCACAAGAGGACTTTTGTCCTTTCTTAAAAACTGGCACAATCAGTGATTGAGACCAGTCAGATGGGATTACGTCCAGTTCCCAAATTCTACCTAAGACCTCAGTTAATCTCATTGCTAATACTGGACCACCATCCTTAAAAATCTCAGGAGTAAACCTGTCAGGGCCTGCTGCTCTCCCTCGTTTCAGATTTCCTATGGCTTTTTCAACTTCGTAAAGGGACGGAGGACCTACATTAACTTGCCATTCAGGTTGACTGGAGATCGTGGGAAACCGAAGTGTGGCTGAAGGCCAGTTGAACTGATCCCTAAAGTGTTCTGCCCATCGATCCAATCTCCTGGATTGAGAATGAATAATATGTCCATCTTTCTCTGAGATTGTTTCGCTAACGGTCGGGTTCCTAATTCCGGTTTCCTTAACGAGTCTGAACAATTGTCTGCTATTACCTATTGCCGCTGCCTTTTCCATCTCTCTTGCTTTCGCTACCCACCACTGTTCGCGATCATTGCGTAGACTTCTTGTCAGCTTGCGCTTAAGCTGACTCCGCTCTTCATTATGTTCAGAGCCAGGTGGAATGTGTTTCCGAGCATCTATCAGTGAGATAGATGCTGCTGAGATCCAGTGTTGCTCCCTAACCTTCTGGTTTACCTTACTAGCAGATATCACTGCTGTTTCCACAGCTTTTCGGATATCATTCCATGCTGCATCGGGGTGGGCATCACATACATGGCTGCCTAACTGTTTTCCTAGTTGTTCCTGAAATATACTCTTAGCTTGACTATCATTAAGTAGGGCCCTAAGAGGTTTCCTTGCAGCGTCTTTCCTACGTCCAGTAAGACGCAAGCAAATACGCGCTCGCACTAGAGCATGATCTGAATCTAGGCATGTGCTCCAGAATGAGCGACAGTCTTCTATCGAGCCCCTCCATCGGTGGCTGATAGCGATGTGATCTATTTGGGTCCAACGTTGGGACGAATTAGGGGGTCGCCATGTTAAAAGATGTTTTTCCTTATGCTTAAAGTTAGTATTTGCAAGGAACAGGCGGTTATCTGAGCATAGCTGCAACAGACGGTCGCCATTATCTGTTCTTTGAGCCACGACACCATAAGATCCACCTAGGTGTCTTTCCTTATCACTTAGTTTACCTACTTGAGCATTAAAGTCACCGGCCACTATTACTACATCCGAGCGCCTAGCTTTTCGGAGAAGGTCCGAAAGCTTTCTGTAAAACTCATCTTTTACATCATCTGAGCTGCAGTCAGTGGGAGAATAGGCAGAGACGACGAAGAGGCAACGACGAGTGTCCCTATCTTTCCGGATTCTTACTGTTCCGTTCAGTCGGACAGCGCACAAACGACTGTCTACTGGGATCCACTCTAAGAGAGCTAGTTCTGCCCTAGGACTCAATGCTATACCTACGCCGGCGAGGCCACGGGAAGCAGAATCAGGGCTTCCAGATACACGAAGCGTAAATCGAGTCGGTTCTTTATTTTGGCATGGTGAGGTCAAATGAATGACGCTACTTGGATCCTGTATGCGCGTTTCGGAGACGCAGCACACATCGATGGCGCGAGATTCTAAAGTTTTAGCTAAGGAAGCCTGCTGTCCTATTTGGCAAAGTGTTCGTACGTTAAAAGCTCCTACGTGTAGTTTAGAGCGTGGTTTCAGGAGACCAGGAATGGCGTTCCACGTACTCGAATCGTTTGCCCTAGCGGTGCGAGGTGATAAAAAGACGTGAGGAGGGTTAGTCGGGAGGATAAGAGAAGTATTAGGAGGTGTAGGAAGGATTTGAATGTGACCACCTTGGTCTCTTGTGCTGTTACGGGTATGAGGGCTGATGTCACTTCCCGGCTGCCCACACCGTGGAAGGGTATTTCTTGAGGAACCTGAAAAGGAAATTGGATTAGTGTTGGTCTTGACGACCTGGGAGCGTGACCGCAGAGCCCAAGGGACAACTGCTTGAGGCCGGTCGCGCACGGCCTTTTTGTGGAAGGTTTTTGACGTGTTAGCTCCGTTCTTCAAAGGGCCTTACCGCCGGAGACGGAAATCCGTGAGGTAAGGTGAGGTGTGCATTTTTAGGGTCGACCTTTTCTAACCCCACCCCTCCTTGTGGGAAGGCAGCATCGCTGTCATGCTGGTTGTCCGAGGGAAACACCTTACTGCTGTCACACCTCTCTACAGTCAGCAGTACGACTTCGCCCTCAGACCTTGAGTTGCTGCTTTTAGTCTTACCGTTCGCCAATCGACCTGCCTGGCATGGTAGAACCTGCAGGAACATATGTTCCAGCCAATATAGCTCGGTTGGGTCATCACGATAGGCAAGCCCGATCACCGCGTCAAGGTAGCAGCTTCGATCGGGATTAGAAAAGTCGTTAGGCTAACTAATCTAAATGAATCTTCACTTTGCATAGACGCTTAGATATGTCTGCTAAAGAAGCTAATATTAATCCTGCCTGCAAATGGTTCTATCCTATGTCTAAAAGTTGTTTTAGAAGCAAATCCATTTAATCCTTTTACCGTTATACAGTAGCATGAAAAGTAATCGATCACAGAATATGGGAAAACGTTAAAAACTCATTCTTGTTTCTATCAAGTAAAAGGGACTAGATTATTGTAATTGTGTAAAGGAAGATTAGTCTCGTCATTATTATTATTATTCTGGATAAAACGTTTTGCTCAAATCAAAGGCAATTTCAAAAGTATTTTGGAGGTTGTCCTTGTAAACTTGAAGAAGCTATCTGACACTGTTAATGCAATCCATCGGTTGTAATTACTATTATTTATTTAGACACATGAATATTGGTACAAGAGAGCGCCAATATATATGCGCCACACAAAACAATGAGAATTCGAAGAGAAATAGAAAAAAAAGCTAAGGAGAGCAAAAAATAAGAACAATAACGAAGAGATTGGTGTAAGGTAGTGTAGTAATAATCATAGTAATAATGAGGGAACGGAAAGGTACAATCAGAAATCTTTCAGTTAAGGGAGACACAACCACTTTTTATGAAGAAAGTAAAAGAAGGTTACAGCAGGATCGCCACCGGCTTCTATTCTGAGCCATATCTGATAACGTCTCTAGCCACTGTATTGCACCATCTCTCGGACCCAAACCAGGGAGTCGTGAAGGACCAACACAAGCCAGTCCTTTGCAGCTTTCTTTCATACCACAACACCATGTCATACACTGACCACCTCTCCGCTTCTTCCAACCAGTTCCAGAGTCGGCAAATAATGCACGACGTGGAGTTCTCTGGGACGACATTCGGAGAACATGTCCAAGCCACCGAAGTCGGTGTTTCAAGATGGTGACACCAATCGAGTTATCATCTCTGTGCCCGAACACACGATGCCGAACCTCTGCATTACTAACATGGTGTTGCCACTGGATGTCAGCAATCCTTCGGAGACAACGATGATCGAACACAGAGAGTCGTCTAACGTCCTCAACTCGGAGAGGCCAGGTTTCACAAGCATAGAGCAAGACTGCTCTCACCGACGCGTTGTAGATCCGACCTTTTACAGCCAGACTAACATCACGAAGGCGCCAAAGGTGGCCCAGATTGGCATAAGCCGCTCTGGCTCTCACTATACGTGCATTGATCTCATCACTCACACCCCCACCAGCACTTATGCAGCTACCCAGATACACGAACTTCTCGACTACGTCTATCTGCTCACCATCCAGGATGAGTACAGGATTGGAATCCTGCCAGTCTTGTAGAAGTACTTTGCACTTCGAAGGTGCAAAGCACATACCATACCTACGGACACTGGTATGTGCTTTGCTAGGTGGTCATATATATGTTATGTTATATTATATTGCTTTGTTAATATTCCTAGACGTTCGTATTATGCAACAGAGACTAAGTATTTTAAATATTTTACACTCATCTATCGGACCATTAGTGCAAAGACCAACTCACTTCCGTTTTCAAATGTCTGGGCATTGTCTGAAACAGTTATAACCTAAAGCCTGGCACAGAAGTTTGTTCTTAGTAATTGAAAGGGATTCTTTCCCTCTCATTGTTTCTATCGTGATTCAATACTAAGTTTTCTATTTACTTCGTAAAGAGGGATAGTTTATCTGCTTACTCAAGCCAAACATTACAATCAGCTCTAGACCTTTGTGTTCGATAGATCACCTTCAGTATTATGAATAATAGTTATGCAAACACCTAACATTTGATCCTAAAATCCTAGGTCTTGAAATATATCTAAATTCGTACGTCTGTTATAGTTCTGTGTCAAAAATATATTATTTGTGTTTGATTTCCTGTCTACCAAGTTTTGATCTTTATTGCATATTTAATGATTAGTAATTTCTTTTTATAATGATGCTTAAGCAGTCCCTACAAATTTACAAATCTAAATCGTTATGAGGTCATTTTAGATGATAACTTACAAGTTTCCAGGTCAATTAAGATCCCTTTACTTCATGCACATTATTTGCATTTAAACTTTTTTTATGCCCCTAGGAACATCTGATGCAATTGACTCGTCCGTTTACTGATTGTAAAACAACCGATATCGGTAAGTTTTTTCATGCTATTTAATCAAATAGCCCTCTTTTATGATCATAAGCTCACTTTTCCATTGATCATCTAGCTGCATCTTAGCTAGTTCTTTGCTTACTTTTTAAAATCGACTCAATTTGGTGTTTTCTCTTCGTTTCAGTCATGAGTGAAATTCATGAGAAGTATTACACTGATGATGCATTTCGCGTACAATCTTTCCAAATATTCAAGCCAACAAACGTAAATGAAGAACCAGGCAAGTTTTACTTATTGAATATTTTCCTAACGTTTAGTTTTTACATTAAAACTTGGTAAACAATATCTCCAACTCAACCTATTGCCTGAAACATATATTCCTTTAGGTCCTACCATGTCATACAATAACAATGTTTTCGAGGACATTATCGTTTGCAATGACACAGGTGCATTCGTTCTCTTTCTTCCCGTAATTTCTGAAATTCTAAGTTTCTCATAACTTTTTCTGTCTTTACTTCACTAATTTAAATTTTCTCGAATCGCATCTCTGATGCCTAATCTTTCCGATTACTACTGATACTGTTATTATCTCTACTATCCATGGATTTGGCCCGACGGGTCGTCTCCAGGGTTAAAGTTAAAATATTCAAAAACATGATTTGTGATAGAAGACGGTATTTGTGGTATTTTTTATTATGGAGGGGGCTTTCTGTGATTTGGTTGGATGAAATTCCCACCATTAGAATTGATGAACAGAATGCCAATCGATAGATGAACGTAATGATATAGTGTGACCGAGTGATGGCTTCTCATGACACCGTATAGTTGGCTTAGGCCCTCGAATGGTTAGAACTCAAAGACAAGACCACTAGTCAGACGCATAGTTTCATATAATAGAACAACACTTATCTACAAAATATGAACACAAAATAAACATGGTAAAATGCCATAGGCCATTGGAAGAAACTAGCTGGTAGGTCACTCATTCCCTGATAACTTAAAATATAACTACCAAGCCTAATCTTTGGGCATCGTACCTTTCTTAGTATGTTTTCCTTGTTTATCTCAATCATCGTTATTCTTGTCAAAAGCATTTCTGTATCTAAAGTCGTAAGGCAGATTCGAGTACTATGCTGTTGCATACGTTGTGACTGATGTTTTTGATATTTTATCTTGCAGTCTACAAACGACGAAAAGAAAATCTGGGTAATGTATCAGAATCTAGTGTTTTTATATACTACTTCCAGGTTAGTCAATTTGATAGATAGATATCCATACTTTTGTTTCATCCATGATTTATAGTTCACCATCGTTTTAGTAAAGGTTATGTTAAAACCCATAAAGATCTAGTGTTTTAATTCGCTCTTGTTACATAAACAGCTTAAAAACGTGCTTGATATTTTTGCTCGGTAAAGTTTACAGTTTTTAAATACTTTGAGATTGAAAAGACATGTTCAGTCTTTTGTTATCCAACTCATTCAGTTACAACGTAAGACTTATGTACCCTAATTGCTTAGTACTCCTTAAATACCACTTCACTCAACTAGTGCCCAAAACATGAACACGGCTTGGACAGATACATAATTATATTCCACATAAATCAAGTTGGACGGGAGTCACTGTAAGAAGAACAGTATATCTATAACTATACACGAGGTTCTAGAATCTTCACTTGTCCGCCAGTGCTGATTGGCTAGAAATGGGCTAAATGAAAACTTTTCTCCGTTTAACTTATCAAAGACTGTATGTTGTTGCATGTTAATACAACCGAATATAATAATTTGTCTGCTAAAAATCCTGTAATAATCCAGATGATGAAATATCAAAACTACAGTTAAATCTGTCTATCAAACCTTCTCTGCATTGTTTGACTCACATCTGCAAAATCTTAATTGAAGTATGATTTATAAGCGGAAATTTGGTTGATATCCTTCCGTAGTAAAAAAGAACTACCTTCACATTAATCTAATCTTTGAAGATCAAATTAAGTGGAATTCTACTATTATCACTCTCAACTATTTCAACGTCATATTTCATAACAAATTCCCATTCATACTCAATTACAGTAATTATATTTTAATTCCTTTTCTGTTTTATCGCTGTTCATTAGCCATTTCGTACACGTCGTAAGTTGATCATGTCAAAGTTCAATGAAGCATGTATACCAGCGTAAGTCAGTAGTAGCCTTTTAAATCTAATTCTACCATGTCTCCCTAATCCCAATTTTTCTATGAGACAGATTTTTCAAATATCGAATGAGTTGGTACAAACTTATTGTTTACTACACATTAATAATAACCCGTACGTCGGTACCCTAATAGTTTTAGTGCTCTACTCTCAACCATTAAGTTGCAGGTTCGAGTTTCGCTCCACCTACTTTTATCTGAACAGGTAGGTAGTATCACTATCCTTCGCACTTGTGTCCAAACATGAGTACACCAATCTTTAGTAGACAAATGACGTACATCATTATTAGGTCACGCAGTTTGTGATCCCACTCTAACTACTGAGGTTCGAACAGCCGGTTTGCATCACTGGGCTTCACACAAAGTGTGACTTGAAAACAAGCACACTAATTCGTAATTGATATAAAATTTGCATTGTTAATCATAAACACCCCTTCAGTTCATACGGTTTGTAAGATGCCAAATTATAATAAATACATTGGGAAATGACTGCCAATCTGAATTTTTAAAAATTACATTTGAAGCTTTTTTAAACCTGTCACCTTAATCTCCGAGTTTGAGATAGTTTATTCTGAGAAGATGGAGATAAATATTTATGCATCTCAAAGTAATTTAACTGTAAATTCTTGTGAAAAATAAGTGTTATGATAAGTGATGACTTTCATCAGTAACCGTCATACTTTTCCCATGGGTTGGTGATAACGTAAAATTCTTTTCTAAAGTTATTTTAAAAGTAAATTTTACTATCTATATAAAATACAAAGAAATCGCAGCTGTTTTTAAATTCAAGATATTGCTTCGAAAAGTTGAATTATCTAATTTATGGAACCTGATCTAAAGAGTTGTGATGTCCCAGTAGATACGAACCAAACAAATTTATCCTTTGTTTTGTAGTGCCATCTCAAAAAGCAGATCGTTTTTTTTTACTTAATCCAGGTAGTATCGATCAGCGGTCGCCATTTTTGCGCTAGGATTTCATAAGTAAATCTGTCGAAATCATCATACTTTTCAATAACCTGACATCTTTTTCAGTGAACCGTTTACTCTAATCTTTTTATATATCGTGCTGCACAGTAACATTAAATAAGAATTGGCGAATATAGAAAATAATTCTTGGTGTTTAGGTCAAATTTATTTAATTTCTATGATATTACTTCTCACAACTGACATTTTTTCTATCATCCTTACCCACAATAAAATTTCTTAAAATACAATTAGCATTTACAAGCTGGTCACATAATCCTTTTTGTTGCGGTACGAATGTGGTACCGCTTTCTTAGTTGATCATTACTTGATAAACGTTATTCATTTTCAAAGTAAACCGAAATCCTAATAACATTAAGTAGAATAGCAGATATTTTGAGTATTTATCTAAATCAAAATTTTTATATTTAAAGTAATCTCTAATACATAAATGACAAGTCATCTAAATTTATAGTTTGGAAAATAATAGCAACAAAGTAGACATTCGGAACTAAGTGATTCATCATCATTATGAAAACCTAAAATTGAACACTGCAAGGATAAGGATCTGTGTTTACCATCAAATTGCTCACTTTTGTTGCTTTGCGTGCAATGTTTTATTAGTTTATATTTCTTTGATGTGTACGCGTCTGATTGGCTTACGTATACTTAAGTTTTCTTGCAACTACTTTACCTTTCGCCACTCATTTTTTTGCGAGAGATATTCGGTTTGTTCATATTTTCAATTTTGACTTGTTTCCAACCTTTCTTTTTACAGATCTGTTCTGAAATCCGGGGAAATACAAGCTGTTATAAATGGAGAAAATTTAATTTTAAGTGATGGACGTATAGTGAGTAAATTTTTTCACTCTTGTGATTTATAATTAAACTTACTCTAAGCATGAATCAGACTCGTGGCTTGTTAGTATAGCAAATTGCCTGATAAATATTTATCTGTTAACCAGACATATAGATGGTAATAGAGCAGTAGATTAATAGTCATATCACTTCACCAGTAATTCACATCATCGAACACTACTCCATGTACTTTGGTTTTGGTCATTGGTTTGTATTATCACTCCTCATAAATAACGTGGCTCAAAGCCAAATACATAGAACTCTAGTGGGTTCGTTACAAAAATATATAAATCAAAAGTTGCTGTAAAAATCAATGGGTTGCCGACTTCTAATTAAATATCATTTTACACCACTTGTAATATCCAGTAATTAAACCCCCACTTTTTAATCGTTCATTACAAATTTTGTTGAAATACATTACATCCACAAATAGCATTGATATTCTAACAGACTGTAAAGATATCAAGTAACCAAGTATTGATGTGCAGTCAACAGATTTTGTTATCAAATTTAAAGTATTTAGAGCTGTCAATCAACATCAACTGAAGTAGTTGAACTGTTCGATAATTGTTCCCATCATTTATAATATCTAGCGAATTGAGATACATACTGGGAGTATTATTTATCTATTCGTTTAAACACAAAGATCGATACAAAAAGACACCAAATATATATTCGCCACACTTCGTCATTCAATTTGTATGAGGACGCCCAAACTGAAGCATGTGATTTTCTTAGGGGGACGCTCCCCGATCCTTTAACCTAAAGGTCTAACCCACAGGGCGATGCATTCACATGTTAACCGGTGACCAACAATTGATCCATACGCCATTTGTTCCCTCAGGATCCTGTAGCCCATGTGACCATTAGTTTGGAATCAAGGCGTTCCGAATCCTCTTCGTGGATCATGAGAACCCACCAACCAAGTTTAAGCGTCGGACATCCGCTTTTCGTCCTCTCCATTGTGTAAACAAACCCCCTGTCACGGAAAGAAAGTGAGCAGAACTTCCTAGTAGTGGCTATATACGTGTGTTCATGTGAGAACATTTCGAGAGGGAAAGCTGACTCTTCCACCCTCGACCGTACCAGAGAATTTGGGGGCCAAGCAAGTATTCGTTGTTAAAGTCATATACTAATTATTTCAAATGTCTATGAGTAGTAGTCAGTGCTTGCGATGATAAAAATTGTCTATTCACACAGACATTTTGGTTTTTTCATAGTAGAAATCTTTTATTGCTTTAAGTGACTAAATAAATGGCTATTATAAAAAAGGCAAGATAAATGTATTCATCAATCGAATTCTTACTATTTATTTCTAATACTATACATTTTAGTCTTTCTTATTTCATATCTAGATATCTCCGGATGAAGTAACTGTGCCATCACCACCATCAAAAAATATGCTTTTCGTCGACTGTCGAATTCTGATTACATTCCTGCATTTATATCCAATGAACACTTTTTCAATTCTATTCAAGCCGAGGAGCCTAGTGGAAATCTAACCTCTGGTGTATCCTTAGTTGTTCATTTTACACCACCAGGCATGTTCTATTCAAACCAGTATCAGAAATTTGTACAGAAGTAAGTTAAAACTCTCCCTCACTAGTTATGATAACAAATTCTATGAAAATTGTAGTCGCATTGTAAAGTAAACCTTTCATGGGAAACGTAAGTGAAAATTTGCACAATTACAAAGTAAACCTATAACTTGTAACTCCTAATCACATCTGTTATAACAAATCAAACGTTGTGAACCACAGGCGTTGAGTAACGGTTGGAGATTCCACCAGCTGTTTCAAAATTTAGTTAAATTATTCTGTGCTTAAATAAAAAATCCTAACTAAATTATCTCTCATAACTAGAAAAAGCAAGCGCAAAATGGTATTTGTTGCAGGCAAAGCTGGAATTCAAACTACCATTTAATAGTTAACAGTTTTTCAGTGGATGTCATTTGCCTAAAGATTGTTGATAACATTTTGTAGTTGTTGTTTTACCACTCACTGTGTGGCTGACTACTTCTCAACTTAGTTAAACCATGTAGGCGATTAATATCATACGTCGATATAATTCTATATGCTTTAAGGACTCCTACTTTTTATCCTGGTTATTACCGTCTACTTTCTCCTTTTCATACGTTAGCTTAAGGCTATTGCTGATTCTTCTCATCATTACTTAGTTGTCAGGACATGATAATTAGGAGAAAAGGTATAGTGGTTCATAAATCCTGCAAAAGATCTAACCGAAACTTAACTAGCTCTCTTTTACTGTCCATGTGTTACTGCTATGGTATTTAGTTTGGGCATATATTTATTTAATCTAACTATGAGTAGTGCCCAAACGCTTTTGTTTGTTCCGAAAAAAAGTGGCCATTAACCTAAAGGATTTCCATTCTTTTTAATACATTTAGGTTGGAAGAGTGTGCATTACAAAAATCTGATACAAAGGATCCAACTACAACACTGAAACATTTGGTTCTTGATGGCACTGGTTTTGTAACTGATCGTGTTGGTATGTATTCTCAAACATTCATCCTAAATCGATTTTTCGACTCAAAGGTCTACCCACTGCTTTTCGATATGGCAGATTCTGATACTGTTTCTGTAAGTAAACCATACAATTTGTTCGTAAATTTATGTTTCTTTTTTTGTGTATGCAAAACTACATAACTTTGTTCACTTGATCATTCATTTTTCGCTTTACTACATTCGCTTGTGTTCATATATTTACCGGATCAATTTTTCTCCTGACTTAGAGTAACTCAAACCTGATTGTAGGTTATGTGGAGTAACTAAATATATTGTAGTCGATGGACCTTGTATGCCTGAGGATTATGTAAGGTATAGTAATGCAGTCACTAGAAAATCTCAAGACTTCAGGCTTTATTCTGGCGATTTTATGTGTGTCTATCAATCCGAATTTTTTGTAAACACTATTGCTCACTGTACATTCTTTGCTTGACATGGATTCTATTCATGCTAAGAGTTACAAGTAAACTTCTTCAATCATAGATTTTCTTGCCTTTATGATATTTCTATCTTCAGTTGTAATTTAATGGTAAACAATTTCCGACTAAAAAGGACCAGTATTTTGAGCCCCAGTCCACTTAGTATTATTCAGTGTCTTTGGAGCAAGGCGTTTGTATATAGAAGATAAGCGTAGGCTGCAAGTGTTTGATTACAGATGTCCTCGGAGCATTACTCACGTATGATGGGACAGCCGAGGGATTAATACTGAGATCAGACGTAGAGCTACTAGGTAAATATGACAAATTGGTTAATAAGGTTGTGAATCTTGATTAATTGAAGCGGCTGTGATACATGTTACATATATCCAACTACGAATCACTTCGATATGGAATGTTGCATTAAGTAAGAGTAGGTTGGCAAACGTGATTTCAATCTATGAAATCACTGACCGTTGGACTGAATCATGTCTTTGGATCCACTCTATCTGATTAGGATGATTTTCGTGGCCGACGTTAAGTGACATAATTCAATATCAGCCTTTACGGCACAGATATTTCTACTTTTGATTTTTCTCTGAATCTTAAGTTTCAGTATTCTTTATTAGCTTCTCATTGTCATTTTGAATCATATTCTCAATTTTCAGTCTTTGTTTCGATTCCTTTACTATTCATCATGTTAATGTCATCTCGTAGTGCTAATGTGCTATGCACATCTACTCCAAACTCCATATTGATTACAACAGATTAAAAGGAATGCACTCAGCAAAGCGTGTATTTATATTACTGTTAACTGTTACAACGTTAAAAATGTTATAACATTCTTAGTAAACATTTGATTACTTCCAACGTTATTAGGTTATCTTGATTCATTTGTTTATATTTCTTCCCACCACACACTGTAAAATTTCTCTTTATTTTATCGTCCAATCAGAAACGGAACGAAACAATATCAAAGAATATTGATCCTTTCTCTTCCGTTGTAACTGCTGAACCTTATTTGCAGTTTTCCTTGAGACCATGGACAGGGTTTAACAAGTAAGATTTACCGCAGTCTTTCAGGTTTTACGGAATTTTTAATATCGTAACCCGATTCGAATTTTTATTAATAATTACTCAAATATTTCTATTTATACAGATTCTGGTTAAGTGTTGAGTTTTCTGAATAACTTGATTGAAAGTGCTACGTTTGAAGAGATTACGATATCACCTGAACCGGCGAAAGGAACGAAAGTCAGCAACGCAACAACAGGATAATCTAAGCTATTTCCCTGCTCTCCAGCCCTACTTACTAGAGAGAAAAGACCGGATTCAGCCGAGGGATATATATATCCTACAAGCAGTCGAAAGAACGAACGAACAAGCCCATAACTCATGAGTTTATATATAATACAAAAATGTCCTTGGAAAACGTCACCAAATAGCGTGCTAAAAGAAGGAACGAACTAATGACATTTAAGGTTCCTCCTAGTGGGAAATATAAACTGAGTGTAAAAGTGGGTGCTGTTGGCGCGAAAACGAGAGATTCAGATTTCCAAAATAAAATTACAAAATGAGACGTCTACCAAGTGATTTCTGAGGATCTAGCATCCCCAACAGAAAGTTCGAGAAAGTTTGGTATAAGTTTCTCTTACTATAAGTTCAAAATTTGACTTTAGGACTACTCTGCAGCAACACCTTGTCTGACTATATGAAATGAATTAGTTGAGCACGCTGATGATTATCATTTTAAAAGTCTCACTCCTACATGGTTAGTCTGTAAAGATATCTTTGCATAGATTAAAAAAAAGTAAATCCGTGAAACGAGGTCTTTGAATGTAGGATATAAACGCAAGCTGCAAGTATTTGATTACAGATGTCCTCGGAGCATTACTCACGTATGATGGGACAGCCGAGGGATTAATACTGAGATCAGACGTAGAGCTACTAGGTAAATATGACAAATTGGTTAATAAGGTTGTGAATCTTGATTAATTGAAGCGGCTGTGATACATGTTACATATATCCAACTACGAATCACTTCGATATGGAATGTTGCATTAAGTAAGAGTAGTTTGGAAAAATACTAGACATGCTGATTGAAATATGACACCAGTCGACGGGATCAGTGACTACTAAACTGAGTCATGCCAATAGATGCAAGGGAAACATTATCTGAAGTCACTCCCATAATCGTTTTCAGTGGTTAAAAGAAGACCTTAGGCGACTCCAAAAATACTCCCGATTATCTGGTTATGTCGATAAGTGTTAGTTCTTTTTTGTATTGATAACTACGAGTACAATCTTTGAAACTCGTATTTCTATTGCTATTTTCTTATTGATTGGCATTACTGTCCATGTGTTACTGCTATGGTATTTAGTTTGGGCATATATTTATTTAATCTAACTATGAGTAGTGCCCAAACGCTTTTGTTTGTTCCGAAAAATTTTTTCTGTATCAACGTCCTTTTCGGTTACTGTGTGTAGAGAGTTGTTCCATTTCGATTTGTCTTCGTCAAATGTCAAGTTTTCTTGTCCTCTGCTGCCTACTTTCTCAGTTCCATCGTTAGGGTTTATCATTATTGTTGTTTATCATTTACTGTGAAATTAAGCTCACTTTAGATTCTGTTCGTATTAGAAATAATATCGATAATTCGTAATTCGCAATTGCCATGGGTCAAATCAAATCCCCAAAACACAACAACAATAACTCTACTCAAAATCAATTATAGTGGCACATATAGATTCACTGTTTATTTCCTTATTGATCATTAGTCTCAATATTTTGTCATACTTTTATCCCATGAAGTCATTCCTGTTTGTTTTTTTTTAATTCTCTATATTCGTTTTTTTCACTATCAACAATAATACTTTAGTTCGGGCTCTACTTATCAATCTCGTTAATTTTTCACTATGCTAATGTGTTGTGGCAATTTAGGTCAATGTTAATTTATTTCATTTGCTACATTGATTATAACTTACTATATTCTAATTGCCTTTATCATTGTGCATTTTGTACGATTAAAGCGGTAATTTAGGATTCAATATTTTATTTCCACATGTAACCTAAATAGTTTTTTTTTTTCCTGGTTTCTGTCAAAATTAACATTATACCCTAGCACGAGTTATTTATTGTTCGGAAAAAAATAATATAGTAGGATTTATATTCAACTTTTGTAAATTTTCATTTTTTTTTCATAATTTAGACCTACTTATCCACATTTAAATGGTGATGAATTTGTGTCACAAATTTTTGATCCGGTTTATATGAGTTTACAAGAAGCAGAAGAACAATTTGTTAAAATGAGAGAATCCATTGAATCTAACAAACCACCAGGTGACTTTTCTAACCGGTATAATGTTCTGCAAATGCTTCTTTTTATTGAAACATTTAAAGTTAGACATTAACACCATTGGATGCCGGCTCAGTGGTCTAGTGGTTAAGTGCTCGCGCGCGAAGCCAGCAGGTCCTGGGTTCGAGCCCCGCGTGATGCGGGATCGTGGATGCGCGCTGCTGAGGAGTCCCATACTAGGACGAAACGGCCGTCCAGTGCTTCCAGGTTTTCCATGGTGGTCTAGCTTCAATCGACTCATGATTTCAACCTGTGAAATTTCTAAAACTCTCCACAAAACCCATTCTGACTATAATAAGTTTTGATTATGTATTGTATGTTTAATGAGTGTCGGGTGATTTCTGTTCCATTTAATGTTAATTTTACACTGATGTCAATTCTAAATCAAGCATTAGAATTGGTCGGTTCATGAAGAGAAAAAAATAAGTGCATTAGCAAGAGAAGAGAGTATAGTTGACTATGATAAGGTTAAGATGAGTACAAGTTTTAGAGAGTGGTAAAGATTTTAGTCATTTTCTTTTAATTATCTCTGACTAATGAGATTGTAAACAGTTTATTTACCTCAATTTACAATGGTTTAGATGATCCCAAACGATACTGGGTTCGAGTTCTGAAGTGAACATTAACTCTGTGATGAAGGTAGATCCAGCTGACCAGTCTCAAATAGAATGAAATGAGCGTCCTGGATTTTACTGCTAGCCACATTCCATTTATTCTGTATCATGTTTATTTAGCTGTTTGTTGCACGAATTCCAGCATGTTGCAGTTGATAGCTGTACAGAAACAAAACCCTGACATTTTAACAATTTCAGACAATCAATTTAGTACCGTTGATAACATTAAATGAAGTTTTTTTTAGTAGGAGAGATTAAATTTGCATATCATTTGGAATAGACAACCTTTGCCTTTCCTTCTAAGTGAATCCGACTTTATTCATAAAGTTCGTACTAGATTAGAAATAAGATTATTTATAAAAATAAATCCGGGTATGCATTACAGAACTATTCGAGCAGAAAAACAATTTTATCATTCAATAAGAAAAGCATTACTTTGAATTTTAATGTTCAAATAGCCAAAAAAACTATTCTACTTATGTTCTTTGTTACTACCACAGGTGGCTTGTGGAGATTGCTAAATTTCATAGTTTGTATCACATGCTGATATCAGATAGTTATCGAAAACCAGAAAGCATCAGACGGTCGTACGCACTCACGACTCCACCTGAAATCTAGCCGAGTATTGGAAGACACCAGCTGAATAACACATCGAAATATATTGGATTCGATTCCTGGTATAGTCATGGTTGCATACCACTGTGGAGCCCCATACAGAGGCGAAGCAGATGTCTAGTGCTTCCAACTAAAATCAGTCTGAATATTCCGTGGTTAAATTTCCCTTTTTAAATACTCTTTCTAATATACTCTCATAGAATTCATCCTGTCGTGAATATATCTTTATCAGCCTGTACTTCAGATTTTGGATGATCGAAAGGCACTTGCTTTGATAATTTTTGACATATTATTTTACACATTTTACAAGTATTAATATGGAATTTTTTACTGCATATTATTTAGCTCATAGATTAGCATCAGAGGCGTATCCTGAAATCACATTTCTTGGCACTGCATCTTCCTCTCCTAACAAATATCGTAATATCAGTTGTATTCTTATGCAACTAGAGTTAGTTTTAACCTCTTTTTTGTGGTTTCAATTATGAATTGACTTTCATTTGTATATTGTAAGATGAACATTTAGCTGGACGAAGTCCTACAAATATATTTCTTGTTCACTTTTAGGTGTTTCAGACTGCATCTTAATGTTTCACCTATTTATGTCGTTGTATCTATCCCGGTAAATAAGATAGGTGTAAATAGTTCGACATGTTTTTTTGTTTTAAGAGCGTCAAGTATCATTAATAGATTTACAGAATGCAACATCTTGATTTTCGACTACTTACTTAGTTACGTCTGTTACTCTTCACGGAGGAGCATAGCCCACCCACTAGTTTTCTCCATCGAAATCTGTCCTGGGCAATTCTTTCCTGTTGTTTCCAATTTCTGTTCATTCTTTTGATATTAGCTTCCGATCCTCGACTCGGTGTGTTCGTTCGTCTTCCTCTTTTCCGTTCCCCTTCAAGATTCCAAGTTATTTCTCGCCTCGTGATGCAGTTTGTTGATATCTGTAATGTATGTCCTATACACTTCCATCGTCTTTTCCTGATTTCCTCTTCAGTTGGGAGCTGGTTTGCTTTCTTCAGTAGATTGTTGCTGATGGCATCGGGCCAATCGACAGTGAGTATCTTTTGTAGACAATTGTTTATAAATACTTGTACTTTTTTGATGATCGTTGTAGTAGTTCTCCACGTTTCATCTCTGTATAGTAGAACTGTCTTGGTGTTCGTATTGAAGATTTTCTTTTCAAGGATTTTTTTCGACTACAGTCAACTAGAAATAACGTAGAATATATCTTCATAGATTTGTAAAATAGTTTTTAATGAATAATAGATTATAAATTGAATTTTTGACTTAAACCATTGACTCTATGACTAATTGCTGTGAGCGAAGTTATTCATTGTCCCTGAAAACTGATATCATCATCTCTATGATTACGTTTTAAATCATATTACACATTATTCGTAATTGTATTTTTTGTTTTTTACCTGTTGCACTATCAAAAAATTTTCTGCATGCCATTTCAGTCCAGATAACTACATAATGTTGGATTGTGGAGAAGGTTCTTTAAGTCAACTATACGCACTACATGGTGTGGAAAAAGGAAATAATATTTTGCGCAAACTTCGATTAATTCTTGTTACTCATATGCACGCTGATCATCATGGTGTGAGTTTTCACATTTCCAGATGTATAATTCTGTTTTTTTATTCTCTTATCTTAAGTCATTATATATATACAGTGTGGTTACACTTGTTTCGTGTTGTAAGTTAAAATACGTTCATATGATTGTGAAACATGTTTTGCAGTAGATAATTCCTACCAATTTAGTCAGCCAGTCAGTCATAATCAACGTAGAATGCGACATATATGTGCGTCGGTTTAAGCTACCTCAACATGAATAGCTCAGCGGAATGATTAAGTTTTAGAAGTAGTAAAACTATCATTGGTAGTATAAGACATTAGAAATATATAGTATGATTCTAGAAAAAGCAATAAATTCGCAGAATTAAAAGTATTAGGTAATTTTAAAACTCAGAACCTAAGAGAAGATACAGATAGGATACTTCTGCATCATCGCAACCAAATTTGAGCCAATTATCAATAAATAATTAACAACTCTAAAACACATTAGTAATTCCTCCACATTATATGTAGTTCATGCAACTTTATAATTAAGTACATGGTTTTACATGATGCTTCGAATATTACTGACGTTATAAAAAAACTAAAGATGTATTGCAAAATCGTTATTCTGTGGTTGGAAGTTCAGTTTTTAAACTATTGAGATGCATTACATCTTGTTTTTGCATTAAAAAAACTATAGTAAGTGCCCAATCTATGTTTTAACTCTTAATCGAATCTTACTTCACTAACTAAATACAACTCATAGCCAAGTACACGATTCTGTATTGAATATATGAGTCAGTAAAAAAAACAAGTAATGGAAACAAGATAGATCTTCCTTAGCTACTACATTATGAATAAAAATCTACACTACTACATATTTTTAACCTGTACATCATTCCTATATCGCCCTTACTATATACCGATAATATAGTAAATAATTCCATCTGACTTACGTTAAGTAAATCATTCGAAATACTACTAAATAAACAGGAGCTTCAATGGAAGGGACAGTCATCCGATGTGTAGATCATATTAATTTTGGTGTTAGTTTTCACGTTTGTAGCATTTAATTATAATAATCGTGAGGACCCCAACCAGGTAGTCTAAATTTATCTACACGATTCAGTCCAACAGTCAGTAACTTCATGCACTGGTATAAAGTTTCAGAAACGCCCCATCAATTAGGCTAACTGAAGAACAACTGACCATTAAATATCAATTCAACAGTTAATAGTAGTAGAAGCTAAATTTCCATGAATAAATTAATAATTCATTCCTGTTTAGTATTCTGAACTAGATCGAGATATCTATCCCGTTTTTTTATTATTTCTTCGAATTATTTCAATACGTTATGAAAGTCGATCTTCATGGTAGCCAGAACCTTCCACCGTAAATGTAAACCACTGAGTATTAACTTTGTAGTCTAATACGTTAGGGGCTAGCCTGGATCTTATAGGTTCCTCTAGCTAGTTGGGCCATATAAGCTCTCTATTAAGGAGTCTCATACTAAAATGAAATAGCTGTCTAGTGCTTCTTGATTTTCAGTCATCTAACTAAGTTCAGATAGTCAAGTAAGTTATGGAAAAGAACCTTATTCTGTTAGCACAGTAAATGTTTCTTCTCTACAAAATTATTTTTATGCTGTTTTTCAAGGGTGTCTTCACAGTAGCTCTAGTTCGTTCCAGTCTACTTAAATCAGATGGTATTGACCAATCCAATTGTTTATTACCTGTCCTTGCTCCATCAGGATTCTATCATTGGTTAGTTAATTTCAATGAACTTTTCCATAATGACCAAATTGTTGCCCCATTCATCATACAAATTCTTTACGATGAACATGATAAGAATTCAAATCCTTCATGCACATTAAACATGAAACGAAAAGAGACGGAAAATTGGTTAAAATTATTAGAGCAGCTTGATATTAATGTAAGTAAATTTTATCCCTTTTTTGTCACTAAGTTCTAATAGTTCCATCTTGGTTTAATTTATGCCTTATTTGCGTTACTGTCTTATGTTAATGGGAGAAAACCAACACTTACCAACTTATTGTTTTGTTACAGGTCTATTTTATGGAACAAATGCCTATATTAATTGTGCATTTAATCATACTAAGCATCACTATCGATGATAACTTGTATTTTTAATACTCTGTTGTTCTTTGTATGAAGTATTTCATTGTGTTTATGCGATGCTAAGTGACGAGGATTATACAGTGTAGTTGCTTGGGAAAATATATGTTATACACCTGCTCAGGAAAGTTGTAAGTATTGTGAAAGTATTGTATTAAAGTGCGTATGGTTATTGTGCATTCAAGAGAGAAAATGATTTGATACTGTTGGTCTTTTAGACTTTGTAGAATAACCACATACCTTGTTGGACGTCCACAATGCAATCAGTCATACACCCAGTTACAAATTTACTGGATTTTGTAGAATTGCCTTGAATTAAAAATCTATTACTTAATCTGAAGTTATGTGTTATATTGTTCTAATCGTCCCTTAAACCCCTTTCGGACAAGAGTATTAGATAGCAAATCGTCCTGGTGTAATGTCTTACTTAAAGTTAGGCTGAAAATGCCTACATTATAACTGATTAAATTCTGTTACACTGCTTTAAAATCAACCCTTTTAGCAATATAGTTTATATGCGCTTTGTAAAATAAGGCAAGGTGACTAATAAATGTGGACAGTTGTTATAGCCAGACAACATATATTATGATAATGAAGTGTCACTCATCAAATTAATTTCTACTTGTGAGGAAAATATTATAAATAAGTATTAAATGGCAGAAATTGATAGGATTTAAATATTTCTAAATAGTGGCTATCAGAGGAATCCAGTATTACATGAACATCTCTGACCTATATGATGAAGCCTGTCACTTAAATGTCTACGTTTCTGTTTACAGAGATACTTGAACCCAGTACTTACTACTTCAAACACCAACGTGTTGTTAACTAAGGTAATAAATTGGAATAGTTACTAACCTAATCAGTAAATACAGTTTTTATTATAATTCACTAGTTGTTGCACAAGTACATATCAAACAAGATAAAATGCCCTTCTTGGATTCAATTACTAAGTAGAATACAGAAAAATACAATGAAATTTATAATTCCAACCAATATCGATGCATATTTATTGTGTGCCAATAAATACCTGGTCAAATTCAGTCATGAGTATCGTCAAGGATATCTATATCACAATAGTTTCCGATAGTCCTGTTCGATTTTTATAAACTAATCTGTTGACAACAAACAATTCAAGTTATTTTATACCTTGAACAGTTATAACAGAATAACGTAACTAGTGTTTAAGCTAACTTACTTAGGGCTTAGAATAGTCAGTTTTTGTAAAGCCTCAGTTGGACGTGCTTTGATACACATATCCATACTTTTATATATATTATGATTCTACGCAAGTCAACAGTGCATACAGTTTACTCATCTTTGTTAGCGAGTGTTAAAATCCCTTTATAGATTAAGGCCAGATAATGAAGTCACACATAGAATCCAAAATCTCAACAAAAGTTCTGTCTATAGCGTGGTCATTGGCAACATAAGTATTATGTTTTACAAATCTGAATTTGTGAGATATCTAAGTCGTTTACATGCATTAAGGTATGAATAAAAAAAACGAAATGTCTCAACAAAATATGTAACATTCAGTGGCTGTATCGATTCGGCCCTGGCAGCCTACTAATCGTAACGCAAACTTTGCACAGAAAATATAGAAATCGTAACTTCTAAACAAATATTCAATAAACCCACAAAAAATTAAAATAAACTGTCAAGAATTTTAAGGGAACACAAATATGATAATAAATGGATTGAATATCACAGGTTCATGTAGATACTTTGAAATATCGCACATAACGAAGGTATATTATAAGCCATATGTTCAAAAATAGTTCACCATGACTATTAGTGCTATAATTATAATGGACAAAAAAGAATAAGATAATAAAAAACGAAGGTAAAATGCTCAGATAGAATTCACAATAACCATGAATATCAGTTTCTATGCATCTAATCTACCTAAACTCTGTTAGTGTACATAAAGCCAGAATAATCTATCAGTTCATTTTAGCCACAGATTATCATAGCAGGTTTGGGTTCCAATACGTCTTCTTCAAATTAGGAAACTAGATAGTATCTTTAGACCTCTTACAAACAATCTGGCTCAAAACCGAATACTTAACAAACTTGTACTTTGCAAATTAATTAAACTCAAATTTATCGGAAATGTTTTATTTAAAGAAATCAAATCAAAAGTCATTAACAAATACTAGTGCCAGGACCTACTTCAAAATTCCTCGGAAAAATTTTCGGAAGCTGGATAGTGGCTAAATATACTTGATCCATTCAGCGTTCCATAGAATCTTCCTAGAAGTTCCCAGGAAAACAATAAATTCTATGTCTTAGCGTGTATGGATGCTTGCCAATTTTTATGTTTCTAAAAGCTTCTAGAATATCACACTTTCGAATAACAAAAATCTTTTTTTCTGCACATAAACTAACCTTGGATATGGACCTCCCGCTCTTTGTCTTCCATTCGCGATTCAAGTGTATATCTACGCGGGGCACCTGACTTAGACATACCAAATAAAACAAAAATTTTTTATCTACTCCACATGAAATTTCTTGTCTATTTTTTTCCAGAAATCTATTCTGTTTTTCTAAGTACCTTGTAATCGATGAGTCGCACCGTTTTCTTTTATCCCTTATTCCTATTGCTTTAACATTATGTATCACAGTGTTTACCTGATTCGGTCTGGGCGCCCAGGCAGTATCCAAGCCCTCACACAAACCAAATGACGAAGTGTGGAGCATATGTATTCGGTGCCTCCTTGTACCAATATGTCTAAATAAATAGATAAATAAATAAAAATATCATTGTATTTATCATTTAACCTATTGTAAGTTGGGACTGGATTTTTTTAAATACAGTAATAGTTGAAAAAATTGCTATCATTATTGTCTGCATCTAAATTGTTGTTTATCAAATGTTACTGCTTTAATTTGACTACAATATTATCTTCACTCTTACCATTACAAAGAACTGTATATACACTGCCAAGAAAACAAAAGGGAGAGTAATTAGCAAGAGTGTACGAATAAGCTTAAAAAACCGTGACAAAATTTTAGCTAGTACTCAGTCTTTAAAAAAACTGCATTTTCGAAAGGGATTGTTTATGGAAAAGAATACGGCAATATTTCAGAACATAAATAGATTTTAAATAACTGAAAAATCTATTAATGTCTTCTACGGGTTACTCTGGCTGTGAACCCGTTTTTATTTTTATAGATTGACCGTCTCCTCAAAACATTTAAATGAGCGTGATAGATTTTTTATATAAAAATAAGGTGTTTAGAATTGGGGCTTTCATCACAAACTGACATTTGCCCTATAGATAAACAAATTTCTAGCAGAACCCCAAAAGAAAATGCCCGGTTAGTTAGTTTACACAATGTTATGCTGATAGATAGTTTTCGAAATAAACGGATTCGGGGGTGAGGACTTAGTTATGATGTCGATCTACCTTTTATAAGTAATCTACTGAAACAGAGTCAATCAAATGAAACGTTTTAATCAGTATAAAAAGGTATTTCTACCGTTCCGTTATATGTAATATTTAAAGTTTGCTCAAGAACCTGAAAGTCTCGTTCTCTATTCTGATTGGCTCATCCCTATACTATACTTTTATCAGAGTAGTTTTACTATGACAGACTTCACCATATTTCTGTCGTTTCTTGAATGCATACAATCTCACTCTACTTTTATGGTTGAATTATTATTATCACTATGATTATTGCTATATGTTTTGTGTTTGGTAATTTTGTCTTCTGTATTGAAATTAAGAATGTATCAAGCATTTATGTTAATATAAACTTATGCATCCGCTTCTTGTAATCTTATTATTTATGTGAGCTGTTAATTTTTTCCCTAATACTATCACTCATAATGTTCTGCTTCAAGCTACAATTAATGCAATTGGTGTTTTTTGTTGGAGTTCAACAAGGTCGATTCGAATTTGTAACCAAGTGATTAAAGGTTAAATGATCCAATCACAAACTTTTCTTTCGATTAATATTTGCATTCTAATGGGTCTAGCCTAAAGGAATAAGTATTTATATACATACACTGCTAGTGTATGTATATGTATGTGTTCACAAGAAGTATTGTAATGAACGAAAACACGGGCCGGGACAACCAATGTATTTTATTACAAAATTACAGAATATCTTGGTAAAGTATGAGAACCATACACTAAACACTTCATTTGCAAATTTCCATCATTTGTTTTTCACATTCTTTATTATTTTTCCAGTTCACAATTTCTTTCCATTTCCCCTTCTATTCTCTTCAACTCGATCTTCTTAGCCTTTGCTGCCAGCCATTCAAATTTTGATTGGTGTTACATAGGTCGCATATACCACAGTATCATAATACTCATGATTAAGAAGCTCACTTTTCCTCTACTGTTTTATTAATTATACAGTACAATCAGTGCAATAGCTTAATAGTTGAACTAATCGGTTATCAACTAATAAGTTCCAGGTTCCAATCTCACCTCACGTACTTCATTTTATGAAACTGGATTTTATGATTAACACTTATCACAAAAATAGTATGACTCAAAGTACACGAATCTATTCGTAGTAAATAGGTTACATTACAGTCTAATCCAGTTTTTATACTTGTGTTGTATAGCATTATCGAATATATAGGTTCTCCTTTTGGTCTATTTGATATTGACGAATTTATAAATGATCTTACTGAATAATTCATGAGTTGTACATTTAAATACAGAAAATATTTAAATCTACTTTTTGTCATTTAGATCCGACCGGTCAAGGTTCCACACACACGTTCATCATGGGCGTTTATTATTGATAAACCTTATCCATTCAAAAATTTAATAAACAGTAAAAATATTGCCGGAAATTGTTCTGAAACACAACGAAAATGGTCTATTGTGTATTCTGGTGATACTCCTCCATGTCCTGAACTTGTGAAAGCTGGAAAAAATTGTGATTTACTCATACACGAAGCTACTGTAAATGATGAATATGTAGATTTAGCATTCAAAGCAAAGCACAGGTAGGTATTTCAATGTTCACTCCTCTGTGATATTCTGTATAATCATTTTGTTATTCCTACCTAAATATAGGATTTGTCCCGTTCTGTCTTGAATAACTAATAAAGCTAGTGGTTTTTAGACTTGATTGCTCAAAGGATAACACATTGGTGTTTGTAGTTAAAGGTACTCAGTTCAAGTCTATTGGAGATGCTAAATCCCCAGAAACCACTTGATAAAATTCCCATTGTTGTAATTTAATTATTGAAACTAGGATTTCTAATTTTCGCACCAAAACCGCCCATTTTAAACTTCAGTTTGTGCTTCCCACATGGAAGAACCTCAAGTGATATTGGTTCGTCTTCTCTTTTAGTACTTTACTTTGTGAAGTTCTCCGAGGACATTTCTGTACTGTGTATATACGCATAAGTTTTGTGTTTGTTGTTTGGTCTTCCTGGTTGCTTGTGGAATTATATATTTCCCTGGTTGAATCTGGTCTTGTTCCTCTAGTTAGGAGGACTGAAGCGCATAGCTTAGCTTATCCTGTTGTTTTTGTGTTGCTGACTTCCTTCCTTTCGCCGGTCGTAGGCAATATCCTAATCCCTCGAACATAGCGGAGTCCCAGTGTGGACAGCTCAAATGCGGATACATCCAGCTATTCAGTCCCTAACTGGATGAAGCGCGACACTTAGATTCTGCTACTAGTCATTTTTCAACTTTCATAAAAACCTGTGTTTTGTTTTAACCTAGAACCTTTAAAGCCATGAAGATACTTTTTTTAGATATCTTATCTGATTTTCCTGCAAAATACAGTAAAACACTTAAGGTAGTAGTTCATGAATTTAGACATTTCCAGATCAATTATTTCTACATACATGATGTATTAATTAACTCGAGAGTTGTTATTTACTTTACTATTGCTATATTGTAAACAAAATAACACCATAAATTTACTAAGAAGTTATATAACACTAAATGTTTCAATGAAATGTATTCTTTAGATATTTATATTCCATATCTGCATTTTCATTTCTGATAGGTTGGGTAAAAATATGTTACCAAGCATGCATTTATTGATATCTGTTATATGGCCGTTTTATTGTTATGTTTTATTTTATTAGCATAATTGTATGCCCTTATAATGTATTTGTAACTTACGCACATTAGAGTTGGATGACTTGGTGATTAATAAACTTGAATTTGTAACGGTCGATCCAACAACATAACATGAATTCACATGTCAATTTGTGAACTGATACGGTAGGCCAGTGAGATGTCGACCATACGATAAGCCCCACACCAAAGTGTGATTGCCTTTTCAAATGATATATATATATAGTATGAATGAATACATATTTCCTTATTGATTCGGCTGGCCAATAAAAAGCCATCTTCCCTCCTAGATAGCTGGTTGGACTTGCTAACAGAAAGCATATTTATCGCTTATTGGAATTGGACACCGTACAAACACTATGAACAGATAGTTATCATCAGCCGATATTCATTAAATGTTACGCTTTTAACCCAGTAAAGAATTGTATATTTTAGACATTCGAACATGCTATCCAACATTTTTCATCCATAAAAATAGTTAGGTTGTTGGCAAACTAACCTATGACAATGATTTTTCTATCTAAATATTTAGTAATAAACGCCTCAATCTGCTTGATTTTTCTTTTTTTTCTCTGATTACTCGTTATATTAAAGCACAACGGGTCAAGCTATTCAAGCTGGACGTGATATGAATGCTTCATTCATTCTATTGAATCATTTTAGTCAACGATATGGACGTGTACCACCAATAGATGAATTTAAGCCAAATGTGGCCGCATCTTTTGATTTTATGACGGTAAATGTTTTTTTTCTCCTTTCGTGTTTTAACATTTATCCCCAAGATGTTCATAAGCGACACAGCAGGATTATCGCCATTGATTTTTGTCTCAGTTAAAAAATACATTGCTCCTTCAATTCGGTAATATTGAAGGTTGTTAGATAATGTCGAACCTCAATGAAACATTACCAAACAAAACTTACATGAAAATGAGATGTATGTCTCATTAGTCTTAAGCAAATGAAGCACATATCCATTAGTAATCTAGTTTTTCTTCAATATATACTAAGGATAGACAATCGTTTACAGTGTAAGCATGTGTGATTCCACTTATTCACTCTCTCATCCCGCTTTATATTACAAAAAATTGAGAATAGAGAATAGGTTTAATCTTCTGAAACCGGTTTACTAACTATATTTTACAGCATACAATAAGTAGGTATCAGTATCATATCCTAATTGTATCAGCCCAAAGATTGATATTTGCATTTAATCTTTAGATAATTATCCATGATACAAAATACATATTTATTCACTATCATGTGAATCTTCATTGAAAAGCTACATATTCTAGATCGTATACAATGTCTTGTATATGCTGTTTGCGAAATTCTAGATGTATACATTAATAGTAGTGACCACCACTTGTCTCAATTGTTCGTATCTGACTTTGTATGCTTCATCATAACTCGATCAAATAGACACTTTCATATTAGATTTTCATCAGACTTTTTTAAGTGTAAATTTATCTGGTTTCTAAAAAATGTCACTTCTGACTCTCTCGACAGTGTACTATTCATTTCACTTTCATATATACATATTCGAATTGATTTGGTCTTATTGTCTTTTTTTTAAAAACAACATTTGTGTTATTCTCTGAATAGGTGAAATTTTGTGATTTACCACGATTACCCTACTATATTCCATATTATCAGTATGCATTCGCTAAACATTGGACCATGGCTCGAACTAGAGCAGATTCCTATACATATCGTAAACTTCGTGAAGCTGATGAATTGTCTGAAAGTGGAGATGTTCATTGTGCAAAAACTGATGATGATATTGACGATGATAATCGTTTATTGAATGAACAAAATGTGAAAGGACAAATTGGAGAAAAACGAACATAACAGCATATTATTTGATTCCTGGTTGTTTCGTCGAGTTTTTTTCCCTTTCCCTTGCAATCGCATCCTTGTAACTAAATAGATTGTTTCAGTTTTTCATTACGTTAAATTTGTTTTTCGTTTATTAAGATTAAATATCATATATTCATCACATTATTACACGTAAAATAAACAAAGTTTTCTAATCACATAGTTCTTTGATTATTCAAGAAAAGGTTTCGAATCAGACTTTTTCCACATTCGATGGTAAAATGTGAACATTTAATCGATCTCTTTAATTCGAATTGATACTCATCTTTTAGTTACTAGTTAGTAAATTGTCGAAAAATAATCGTAGTTACACTCATTTCCAGCAAATATGTGGTGTGATAATCCGGTTGAGTTGTACTGTTTAGAACACTCGTTCCTTTCTAAGCTCTACGATCGTAGAACGATCGGTTGGAGAGTGTTGTGGTTGCAATAAGGTGTTTTCCTCAATCAACAATATTACTTTCTCAAAACGGAAGTGTAGTTAGAAAAGGCTGGTCCTAAGAATGACACATCTGATCTGGTCCCACAAATGTAATAACGTATTACAACTTCGGCAGATAATACTTATTATAAGTTTAAGCATTGTTTATTAAACACGAAAATGTTAGTCAATATATAGTTGTAGAATGTTATTGGAAAAAAACTAATTAGACGAATAACCGTCGGAAGTCACGTACATGAATAGCAAGAAATACATAATAATGCTGCGGTAGTTTTAGCGAAAATAATGCATATAACTATTGTTGAATAATGGGATAACAATTATGTAACTATTCATAATTTAGTCATGAAAAAACAGATGATTCTATTGTTTATCTGAGGATCAGTTAGAATAGTTTACGACCCTATAGGGAATTCAGTAATTTTGTTATTTTCCAGGTCTCAATATTAGCAAGATGTTATAGTGATCAATTTGAACATTCGCTTTTTATTAACATAGATTGATTAATCTATTGTTAAATGATACATTATCCGTCTAGTCAAATATTAATATTTTTTATCACATGTATAACCGTGTTTAATACGCTGAACTTTTCCTTTAACAATAGTGTTACTCATAAGTAGCCACATTTTTCCCATACAATTTTTCATGCGTTTCATCGGTTATTTAGTAATCAACTGTTCCTCTATTAGTTGGTACACTTTTTATCTGTCTGTCTATATCGAAGTAATCATTTTCATGCTTTGTTGTGCTAGGAGTTGACTGTTCTTATGGTAACCACCTTAGATGTAGCTTAAACATTGCTGATTGTAAAATCACTTGTTATTTTTATATGAATACTCTAAGTGGCTAAAACAGTTTTCTGATTTTGGTTGACCTCGAGTTCGTAATTGCGGTGGATGTAACTCTTCGAATTCTAAGTGTCTTCAGCCGTCACAAAAACATGGTTGAATCAAAGAAGAGTAATCTTATGGTTTCTGGCTAATTATTATTATCTTTGTCACCGCGTGAATGTAGTTAAAATATATTTGGCAGGTAACTTAAATTATACTTATTTGGACACCGACATTAAAATGTCATGACATCCAATGCTCTATTATTATGTATATCAGTAGGTGAAGGAAGAAAACCTCGAAACCTACCATTAATTCATTTTCATCAATGTGAGCTGAAGTGGTCATAGTTTTCAACTTATTCGAATAATTGATGCCTCAGTTTCATGTTTACTTAGATTTTCAAACAGCGGATTTCTTCACATCAACTTATCTAGTTTATCCTTTCTCGCTGTATTCGTTTTTTTCACTAGAAAAACCTTTAGTGTTACTGATAAATCTAACTGAACGTTTGATTCGGTTTCCTGAGCTCTTCTAGTAACCCTTAGGCTAAATCTACCCAGCAACTTGAAGACGAGAGAAAAGGGTCGAAATATGGGGAGAACGCTTTACTCCAAGGTTGATTTATGTGCAGAAAGTTTAATGTATTTGTGACATTTCAGATGACTTTGGTCTTCTGGAAAGTTCTGAAACCCTTCTAAACAGAATAGCAGGATCGGTAATCATTCAATCAGTAGTGCGACACATGATTTTTCACTCTCTGACTGTTTCTGAGAAACTTCTTTTGAATGCTGGTTGGATAAGATGTTTCCCAGCGTTTTCGCGGCCCCTTCAGGTTTTTTTCGAGGAATTTTTTGTGTCTCCTGAACAGTAACAAAGAAAACTACTTTTCGTATACATTTGACAATTTTTGCATGTCAAAGGAAGCTTAAATCAGTATGAAATTCTACTTTTTCTGAAGATGGTATTGAATTTAACTAGTCTTTCTCTATTCCGACTATTACCTATAATGTACTGTTTATTTCTTGTCGATTACACTATTGACTGAATACGTTTTATATTTTTCATCATTATTTGCCTCGTGTCCATGAATTTTTTACCAACTTATCCATGTTTATATGATTCAGTGGTTGTTAATAGCACTATATTGCAGGGGCGTAGTCAACGAAGACTCAAATGCAGCAATTCACTTTATTTTTGTATGTAAAATCACACAGTGCCTTTGTAACATGTAAAAAATCATACTAAATACATTATTGCTCATATTTCTTGAGCTGTCCTTTATACACCCCATCGTTCATCCAATCCTATTTTTATTCCGATTGCTCTCTGTTTTTCATCCTCTTTTCTTTATTCCAATCTTCTGCTGATAAGCAACCCACTTACCTAGTCCTGCTACATTTACTTATATCTATCCGCGTAAATAGAAAACACCACATTGGCACAGTGTTTGTCGCCTCCATAATTCACTCACATAATGTTTCTAAATACAACATTAACTGAGAAACTCTGGAGGTAGCATCGCTTCTCTTAGGTACGAAGTTTTGGTTTAGGAATTTCTACTTACACCTGTTACCCTTCATGGAGGGGCACAGGCCTCCCACCAGCACTTTCCGTCCAACCCTGTCCTGAGCAATCCTTTCCAATCACTATTCATGCTTTTCATGTGTGTTTCCGATTCCAGACGTAGTGTGGTCATTGATCTCCCTCTTTTCCGTTCCCCTTCAGGATTCTAAGTTAGCATTTGCTTCGTGATGCACTTTGGCGATTTCTGTAATGTATATGCTATCCGCCTTCAGCATCTTTTCCTAATTTCCTCTCCTGATAAAAGCTTATTTGTTCTCTCCCACAGTAGACTGTTGCTGATGGTATCGGGCCAACGGACGCTGAGTATCTTGCCCAGACAATTGGTTATAAATAATTGTACATGTTTGATGGTGGTTGTGGTAGTTCTGCAAGTTCAGTTCCATGTAGTAGAACTGGCTTGATGTTCATATTGAAGACTGTGACTTTGATATTAGTTGACAGTTGTTTTGAGTTCTATATGTTCTTCAACTGTAGAAATACTGCCCCTGCTTGTCAATCCATGCATTTGCATCTGCATTACATACTCCTCGCTCATCGACGATGCTTCCCAGGTACATGAAATATTCCAGAGCTTCTCCATCAAGTGTGATCAGGTTGATGTTCTCGTGTTGTATTTGAGGATCTTGCTTTTTCGCTTGTGTATGTTGAGGCTTACTGATGCAGAGGCTGCTGCTACACTAGTTATCTTTGGCTGTATTTGTTTATGTGTATGGGATAGAAGAACCAGTTCATTTGCAAAGCCAAAATCTAATCGATTCCGAGCTGTCTATTGTATTCTGTACTTTCGCTCAGATGTGGAGGTCTTCATAATCCAGCCGACCACCAGATGAAAGAGGAAGGAGTAGAGTAAGCAGCCTTGTCTGACTTCTGTAATTCCTATTCATAGCTTTCAAATATTTCAAACAAAGTCCAGTGTGATACTTACTTAATTTAATGATCACAATATAAATGTGACTGATAGGATCTGATGAATACTAATATTATCATTTACTATCTAGTAATCGATTTGTAATATCAACTTAGTACCATTGAAAGTCATTTAAATCATGAACACTTCAACTTTCACATCTCTTACTTATATATGCTTAGAGTTTTATCCATTCCAGGTTTATGTTTTCTACCTTAATCATAAATAACCTATAAAGCTTTTAAATATTATAGGTAACAATTTCTGTTGTCATATATATTAGGGAACATCAATATTGCTGTGAATTTTTAATTGCTATGCTGTAAATTAATGTACAGATTGGTGATAAATTCGTTTAAACTGAATGTTCTTTTTTTTCTCCTTTCTGATATTTTCATGGGAATTAGATACAAATTTAAATATCTTTTTTTTAAAAAAATAATTGATAACGTGATATTGATCTCAAGAACTGAGTTAGTGATTTCCGGCATGTTGTTTCATCATACAATAAGAAAAATACCTTATAATTTTAGACATACGATTTCTTTTTTCATTTACCCCTAAGGTCACAATAATTGGTGTTTATATACTCTATGTATATATCATTCGGATTTAAATCTATTTACATCCCAGGGAAACAAAATAATTTTCCATTTAAATACTTAGCTACCTCATGTTGGTTGATTAACACAAATGTTTTTTTATCATAATCACTAAACTAATAAATTAGGCTTAGCTATTGACATATTTGTCCATAGAATTCTCGTCTCCTTCCCTTGAAGTTTGAAATGAAACCTTTTAAGCTTTAAAGTAATGCCTTTGGTTATTTGTGATATACACCGAGTACTATGCAATGTAAAATGTTTATTATGTAGTGAGAAAAGATAAAACGCCATATAATAAGCGATAAATAGATTACGTGAATGCCAAAAGATACATTTCCGGTAAAACTGCAACCAGTCGACAGATTTTGTCCATTCTAGAAGTACGTATTACTGTTTATTAAAAATACGGTAGAAAACTAACAAAATCATGATCTCATCCATGTTTAATCTTATTCTGTTTACAAAATAATGATGCTTTATTCATTACCAGATATTTGATTGAAGTAAATAATTTTCAGAGTCAAAATGCGTAAAACCGTTACAAAACCCCGTTTTTGTACAAATTCAACCTGTGACTATTCAAGAAACAAATATCGATAGTTTTTAAACGTTAACTAATTGCCATTCATAGATGTTCACGATCGGTCTTGCTCTTATGACATCTCATAGTAGATTTTTTTCGCTTCTCTGAAGGACAGAGAAGGAAAATATATCAATTACTATAGTGGTTTTTCTTTAATTTATTAGTAATTAGATTTATGTTGGGTAAATATTTTGTTAAGGTGGGTAACGTATCGCTGTAGACAGATATTAGTTAAGACAAATCTAAAACATGGACAAATAACATCAGATAAATGTTTGAGGAAAAGATGGCCGAAATGCCTAAGTTGACCGTCGCGTAGCTACTACAGTTTATATCTCAATAGTGTAGATCTAGGATGGCGTATGACGTAGATTACGAGGTATTAAAGCTCTTAACAAATACAATACTTGGAAACTACTAAATGACAGTTTGATTGTTTATAATTTTAGCTTCCATTTCGGGAATTAATTATACTTATTTGGTCAAAATTTATCTTGATCTTTCGAACTAGCCTTGACTGGAAAATTTCATTTATTTCTTTTAAAAAAATGTGATCATAAGTATTCGCACAGTGCCAATTTTTGTACACACTAGTTTATTGCACGTATATTATTTTTGTTCTGATCAATCAATCCAGTGTTGAGTTGTTTTTGAAGTTATTCATTTTAGTTCTTGATTATGATATCTATCCCATTTAATGTTGACTTTAACATCAAACGATCATGATTTTGTAAACAGTTTTCGGATACTTTTATCTTTCAAATTAATTGGTCTTTTCAAAGCATTCCATATATCTTTGTAGATGAGTTTAGTTATCTGAAATCAATGTTCTTTGGTATTCAATCTCGATATTAACTAGGTGAAAGCACACCATCAAATATCAACTCCACTTCTTGATATTTCTGCTCTAACGTATAGCACTTTTGTATCTTGTTCGTATCAGTATCGTCATATTCATTATTTAATTAATTTTTTGACATGTATGGATATATTAACTGATAAATATAAACATAAGTGACACAGATTTTCAACAAAATTATTTGACATTTACATTATTTATAATTGAATTCACAAATAACTAGAGGGAAATGGATTAGCCAATCAGAGTTTCGTTTCCAATATCCAATCAGAAACATTTATAGCAACTCCGTGAATCAGGGAAAATACATTTCAATATAGCTTAAATAATACAAAGTATTTATTATTGTTTTCTTTTGTTGTTTTTTTTTTACCCAGAAATCTAAATTATACAAAACAGTTACATAAATAAGATCTGACAAAAATATTATTTCGGAAATACTTATCTCCATAAATATTCATTATTTATCCCCAGTTCATTTCTAATGGGAACAGTATTGCTGAAAATAAAATTCATCGTGAGTAAATCAAATACTTAATGTAATTAGATGAGTAAGCTGACTGAGCTCTTTTATTATTTATTGAATGTGTAAATTATATTCAGTGGTGTTTCTTCTATTCAGTTGTATACACATTTATTATAATTTATCATACATATGTTTATTTTTTAGGAAATGAAATGGTTATAACAAATATTTCAACTGTAGAATACTATCCTACTGATAATTAAATTTGTACTCTATAAAAAACGGTGAGACTAATTTATAGACGAATCAATCAGATATAAGGTAACGGGTCATGAACTTTGGCTCGAGATTCATCCATACATTTGGCTAAATAGTTTTGGCATTATAGCTGATGTCACTTCGTGATGAAAACTCTAAATCTAATTTTTAACTCTAACTATCAATTGCAAATCATAATTCTAACTGGTTTATATCCCTTATTTAGTCCTTATCAGTAGGTGTCCATTCTCAAGGTCACTTCAGCGTCGCTCGAAAGTCGTCCATAAATTATAATCTCACTTAGAAAACTATACAGTCGTAAAGTGCCTTCTTTTGACCTGTTAATTCATAGATATTGGCATAGAAGAATTTGGACACACTAATGAAACATGTAGAATGTTTTTCATAAATTTATGTACTTTAAAATATCTTATGTGGAAAATTGCGCTATATATAACAGTTGTTAATAATTTTTAGTTAATGATTGTTGGATTGATGTTTCATGACAAAAAATGTTCACAGACAAAATGTATTGAAGTTATTAGTCTAACTTTATGTTCTTATCCAGTATTCTTAAGTGAATGAGATAAGTTTATAATCTAATTTCAATATTATGATTTTTAACCTTAGAGAGAAATAATTAAGGGTATTCTGTATTTTAAATCCTGTTAATAAATTAATTAGATTATCTTTGTGAAACAATGGCTTAGTGACTAAATCATTCAGATTTCAGTTATCAAGTCTCACGGTCAAACTACGTGGTCATGTAAATCAGTTTATTTAGTCGAGTAATAGTATCACCTAATCCTTATACAAACAAACAATGACTTAAAACAGTACCGAATATCTGTACTTGGTAAATGAGTCATATTACTTAGCTGCATATCAAGAAATCTAGATTAAATTAAAGTAGCGGTAAACTACTGAAAAATTATTAATAGTTAATTGAGTAGAACCTTAATAATAGTTATATATTTAATAATCTGTAAAACTTCTTGTGTTTGACCGAATTATTTAACTATTTGTACATTAACATGTATTAGAAAATGTCCTCAGATGTTAAATTGAAATTTGGTGATGTAATTATTGGTATGAATGATCGTCTACATTCCTAGCTTTATTCTCTTTCAGAAAAGATTTTATCAGTTCAGAACAGGCAATTATAACTACGACAATGTATTTTGTAACTAATTTTTGTTATGTTACCATTAAACACTGAAATGCAGGCTTATCCATCTGACTAGTCCTAAACAGGACGAAACATAGGCCTACATTCCACTGCTAACCAATATTCGACTTTTATCTCCATAAAAATCTCACTAATACATTTTAACATCTGAATAGTTATTAAATACTACTGGACAGTGGATATATATTACATTTTAATCAAATATATCACTAACTGTTGTCTATTTATACAGTTTTATTGCAAATTCTGATATTTTACAGTAAATCGATGTACTCCAAGTATCATGTCAATATCTGTAACTAAAATGTAATTTTAATTCGTAGAAGCACTTACGTAATTTATCCCCTGATAGCACCTCACCTACACTTAAGTCTGCTTACGTTTAATTCTGTCAAGTCCTTCAATTAAGTTATTTAACAGTCAGTGTCATTAGAACAGTAACAGTTTGTATATTTCTGTATGATTATTGTCATTATGTCTGCATGCCAGATCACGTGTTACAGCATAAACACATACCCCTCTTACTAGCTTAAGTATTAGTTGCTTAAATCGTTCGATCGATCATTCACTTTCATGTATATGTGTTCAAATCTTATCAAACTATTCGACTCTTGGTTTGCCTCTGTATTTGCTAGTTTGCGTTAGCACTTCTTCTCTAATTCGCCTTGTGTGCTTTTAGCTTAGTGATTTGCACTGTGCAGTAAGAGACTTTAGTCCACGCTTCGTATTGTCTTCTGAAATTTGTATACCAATGGGATTCATTTAATAACAGCTATCAGGACTATTGATATACAAAACCTTAGGCGTTATCTCTAAGATAGTTTACTACACCTTTTATGTTCATATAGGATATAATTAACAATAGTACGACATGAAATGTTTCTTCTTATAAGGTAACAGCTTATTATTAAAAGCATTTAACTTTCAAATATCAAGTTACAGATTCAAGCAAACAGTTTACCTAGCATTATTGTGTTTTAGTTAACTTGTTCGCTAAAGCATTTGATTTCTAACTACTGGGTTCCTTGTTTAAACAACGCTTTACTAACTTTAACTTGGTCAGTTAAACAGCACCACTGGCTCACAGACACCAAAGTGTGGTTTTTGGCTAAATATGCACGTGAACTGGAATCTAAATAAATAAATTGAAAAAAAAAAATGCTCGCTGCAAGTTTAACCTATATCGTATGAGAGGTAATTCTCAAAGTTCTGGTCAAAATCTGTTATCAATGGAGTCAAATCATATTGGGAGTGGGACAACTACTCACCAATGGTATTAGATAGTGGTTATGCAATATCACAGATTATTTGAATCTGTACATGTAAATCATCAGGTACTAACTCAGTAATTTGAAGATTGAGCGTTTGCCGAGAAACTTGGGATGTGTACTTCTGAAGAGTCCCATTCTAAAATAAAATATCTGTCTAATCCTAGATAGTTCTCAACGATTGTCTATAATTAGATTGTGGTTTAAAATATAGTATAAGGTAATTTATGTATAAAGTAATAACTAAAATAATTATTTTTCATTAAAATATAATGGGAGTTTAGAAATGCAAAGATTTCATTGTCATTGTTTGTTTTGTTTTGTTGTTTATCGCAATACGGAATAACAAACAATATATGTTTTAATTTAATATTTGTTTCTGTGCAAAGATTGAAACTATAATTTCTTGTCAATTGATGAATCTACAAAAAGAAAACTGACGATAATATTATTTATTTTTATTGAATTACTTCAACTTACTTTCAAGTGGATAGTTTACTTAAGAATGTACCACTTGAAGAACTGTTTAGTAGGATAAAACAATCGATAGTTAATTCATCTTTTTATTATATTTCAGTAACATATATCTTTTCATTCTATATAGAATTCAATTAAGATAAAAATGTATTTTGCCTAATCAATAAGGTAATTATGTATATAAACATGATTTAATTAGTATCTAAGTATAGAAATGACACCAATATTTACTGTTCACTATAAACTGTCATTATAAAATTATTAAAGGTTCTCATTAAAACTTCAAGAATGTATTCCTCAGATCAAGTTAATTATAGTGAGATAACTTATTTTTATAATCAATATTTTCAAGAAATACACTGAATAAATTCTCTATTACAACAGAAATGAATATTGAATACGTTACCGATGAGTAAAATAGAATATTAAATAGATACTTTATTTATTCTATTTTGAATCTTGAATTTCTTTTCAAGAGTATATCTATAACCATAATTCTTATTATTAGTACTTCTGTTGTGTACTCTCTTGTGACCAAGACAAACTTAAAATGTAGAATCAAATCCAGTGTATAATTATAACCGGAACAGAATAATAAATGACACTAATTATATTAATTAAAATAAGAAACTATTATTCTCACAAATATTTCAGTAAATTATAAATACATTGTCCAACAGCTTAGGCAATGTAACAAACAATAAAGCAAATGAATTATGTCATCAAATCCGATTAAGAAGGTGTAGCTTAAAGGTGAGTACATAAATCTTATACTTGGTGTATGAGTTAAATTATTGTATTATTAGTATGGGGGTTGTGGAGATTGTTAAGTTTTTTGATTAAGATCATGAATCAATTGATGTTAGACCACCGTTGGAAACCTGGAAGCACTGGTGAGGAGTCCCATACTAGGACGAAACGGCCGTCCAGTGCTTCCAGGTTTCCAAAGGTGGTCTAACATCAATTGATTCATGATCTTAATCAAAGAAAATATTGTATTATTGTTATTATTAGTAATATTATTAATTTACCTCAATAAGTAATAAATGTCTTCCATCACTACCCTAATAGTGCATAAATGCCTATATACTTTATTACTGAATGAGTAAAAATGTTAAGGTCACGAAATGAACTAAGTTAAACAACAAATAAAAATCAGGAAACACTGAAGAACTGTTTCATCCTAGTATTGAACTTATCAGTAGTGCGTATTTGCAACACTAGGGACCGAATCCAGTACTTTGAGATCTCACAGTGAGCACTTGATCTTTAGATCACTAGGTTGCTATCCATTGGTTTACAATTTTAGCTTCAGTTCATCCTCCAATGTTATTAATGGGTAACTATGTCATTCCCGACACTGCTGAGCCACACTAGTTACACTGACGTTCAATAAATCCCTAATACTGATGATTATCACATGGTCACTGATGAATTATTCTGAGAGGGGATTTCTCAAATTCTAGTGAAGAGCCGTGACCAGTGGAGTTCGATCGTGTTGAGTGTGAGACAGTTACCAACTGAAGACAAATGAAAACAGTTACCCAAAATTTCGAATCGATTGGAACCAGACACCTAAGTGAGTGGACGCCACCTCAGTGGTCTAGAGGTTAAATGCTGATCGCGAGACCTGAAGGTACAGGGTTCAATCCCCTTTATGGTGTATGTGCATATTTGATTGGCCCTATAGGTAGAAACAGATGTTTATTATCTCCTGGTTTTAATTAATAATTGTCCAACCTAGATAAATTGGAAATCTCATTAATATTAGACAGTTTCCACACACCTCCACTGTGAATAAAAATAATCATATAGGTTTTATTATCATACAATACAGCATAGCATACAAGCCCGTCAAGAACAAAGAATATTACCTCTCTACACCTTTTGTAT